GAGGGAGAGAGGTAGCGAATATTGCGACGAGCCGGTATAGAGTTAGTCAATGAGGGAGGTTTGTTAGTTATAGAGAGTGGAAGGGAGTAAGAGATGAAGAAGTGATCAGACACATGAAGTGGAGTTACAGAGAGGTTAGTGGTAGAGCAGTTTCTAGTAAAGATGTAGTCAAGGTGATTGCCGGCTTTGTGAGTAGGAGGAGAGGGACTGAGTGACAGAGCGAAGGAAGAAAGTAGGTGTAAGAGGTCAGGTGACTTCTCTGTCTGGATGTTGAAGTCACCCAGGAGGATGAGCGGAGGTCCATTTTTGGGGAAATTAGACAGGAGAATGTCCAGTTCTTCCAAGAAATGACCTAAGGAGCCTGGCGAACGGTAGAGGACAATGATGGTTAATTGTACCGGGTGAGTGATTGTTACAGCATGGAATTCAAAGGACGATGGGGTGGATGGTGGTAGAGGGTAGAGAGAAAAGCTCCATTTGGGTGAAATGAGTAGACCTGTGCCACCACCCCTACCAGTGGGCCTGGGAGTGTGGCTGAAGGAGAAGGCGGAGGAGAGAGCGTATCAACATTTGAAAGTTTAAATGGTGTCTGTAGCTGACGGATTGGCAAAGCTGAAAAATCTCAAAGTTGAAGAAGTTTAAGAGGATTTGAAAACAAACTCTTTTTGAAAACCATGTTAAAATATTGATGATTATTGATTTATATAAATTCAAGCATAAGAGGTAAAAAGCTGAAAAGTCATAGCTGTAAAGCCGGAAAGAAGCTGAATATTTTAATATTTGAACGGTTTTAATAGCGGAAAGTGTAAAGGAGTTGAAAGGTGAGACGGAAGAAATAGAAGAAGAAGGCGGAATAAAGATTCGAAGAACAATACTTGGAATGCTTAATGCATTCCAACATTAAAGATTCGAAGAACAATACTTGGAATGCTTAATGCATTCCAACAATTATAAATGACATTGACACATTGACTTAGAGACTGGTACACTTTTTATGACATTTCCGGTAACACTATGAATTGTTTTTTTTTAATGATTATTACTAAACCTTTTTTGAAATGTTAACGTTTTCTATAACTATTATAATGCTTTTTTAAACATACTACTTTTAAAGACATACTATAATAGAACTTTTTAAAATATTTTTTGACATCCCTTTTCATGGCCTTTTTTAAACAAACTAGACCAGGAGTTTTTAAATTGTATTTTCTACATATTAAACTACTTTATGTGCCGTTGAGCCTCAAACTCTGAATCCAGTTCTCTCTTCTGCAATCTAACTAAAAGATTTCTCCAAATCATTACAGATGTAGCTTTTAAATACTCACTAAGTTGTGGGATTTGTGAGTAAGATATTGTATTTAAATAAAAAAGTAGAGGCCAAAACATCCTTAATTTAAGTCTCCAAAAAATGCCCTAAAATGAAAATGCAAAGAAATCACCACGGCATCATTTTTTACAGAAACTGTCTGAAGACATTTTCAACGTTGTATTAATCAGAACTTTCCGTGATACAGAACAGAAGTGAACATTAACAGTAAAATGAGTTTTATGTTTGATTTTCTGTTTCGCCCGTCGACTGATGGAGGAAGAGTACGCAGGCGCAGTCTGATCCATCTTCACTAAAGAATCATGTTTCTTCATTACCACTAAATGTTCTGCTGCGCTCTATCAGAACTGAAAAAGAAGTACTGATCCACCCGCCACAATAAAGGTCACACTGAAATATCACTCTTTTTAACTTCTAAAATACTTTATTTCTGCCCTTTCTTTAATCCCATGAAGATAGTGGATAAGATGGTGATCAGTATTTCTTAAAGGCAATTTATTGAATTTCAATTACATCACTTTTGTATCAGTATCGTCGGGATCCGAACCTGGGTCTCGGTGTAGCAGGTAGATTGCCTACCGCTGTGCTACGAGTGGTGGTGACTCAGGTGCAGAGACAGACAGACAAGTTGTTTGTAGAGTGAAAAAAGGTTTCTTTACTTTACTTTACTTACTTTACAGAGGATTCCAAATGCTTGACAAAACTCATAAATATTCCTAGACAACTAAAAACAAGGTCTGGGCATTTAACAAGGAAACTAAGGGTGTCCCAAAAAAGAGGCAACAGAAGATCTTAAAAAACAAAAAGTATTAACAGAGGTATGGCATCAAGAATCTCACGCGGCTCAGATCTAGATGGCAAGTTCCAAGACACAACAAACTCAAAGAAACTCAAGTGGCCTTTTAAAGGCTAGAAAACAAGGCACAGGTGAACGCAATGAAAACAATCAAGACCACACACACACACACACACACACACACGTGACAGATATAAACAAGATCACTGAGGACTCCACATGGTCCTTCAGGGTAATGCAGTCCAAAGACCCTGACACTTTTGTGCATGTTGTATCAGCACAGCTATAATTAAAGCATCATGAATATTCTGCTAGTTTATCTACACACATTGAAGCAACAATGAAATTCAAAGTTCTCTACCAATGCAATTCAGAATGAAAGACCATTTAAAATAAAATCTGATTCAAGAGCAAAGAGAATGAAATAAAAACTATAGTTTTAACTGTGTAAAGACCTCAGATAATAACTTGTGGTACTGAAGGGAAATGTGTCCACTTGTTCCTGTCTCCGTCCAGGTGAGTCTCCCTCTGGTTTGACTGCATCTGAAGAAGATCACATGAAGTTATTCCTCAGAAACGGAAGCAGGAAGTTGTTTTGAGTTGCAGCAGACACCTGGCTGACCTTCACACCCGGTCCTCCTGCTCCTCTTGGTCTTCTCTCTGTGCTGCCATGTCTGAGAGGTCCTCATACTCAGGATGAAGGTCCATCTGATGGAGAGACGATGAGAGTCAAAGGCCTCAGAGAAGCAGTTCAGATACAACTGACCCTCGGCTAAGCCCCTCCCCCAACGCACACTGTACATTCCTACGTTAGCAACCGTAACCGTAACCGGACCAGAGGCCTTTAGAGGGTTGATGTCACTTAGGGATTAAACATGTGGAAGACTGAATCCATCAACGATCAATAAAAACTCCTTTGTTTGCTCCATAGTAAGATGCTAATAGCGTTAGCTAGCTTAGCATGACAGTCGAAAGTAAATTATTACATTACAGGTCATTTAGCAGACGCTTTTATCCAAAGCGACTTACATTACACTTTAAACCCATGGCTTTTTCACATTTTTGCCCAGGGAGCAGTTAGGGGTTAGCTGTCTTTGCTCAGGGACACTTCAGCATGGAACATGGGGCAGCCTGGACTCGAACCACCAACCTTGTGCTTCCCAGCACATCTTCTCTAACCCCTGCGCCACGACGACCCATTCTCAGTAATGTGTAACAAACATAAATCTCTCACCCAGGAGATCCTTGGTTGTTCCTGGTGTGAAACAACAACTAGAAACATTTGCAAAACATTTAGTTGTTGTGGCTTAAAAGCATTCCAACAAATATCAAAGAAATGAATAAAGCTCATATAAAGCATTCCAACTAATATCAAAGAAAGAAATAAAGCTCATATCAAGCATTCTAACAAATGTTAAAGAAAGGAATAAAGCTCATATAAAGCATTCCAACAAATATCAAAGAAAGGAATAAAGCTCATATAAAGCATTCCAACAAATATCAAAGAAAGGAATAAAGCTCATATAAAGCATTCCAACAAACATCAAAGAAAGAAATAAAGCTCATATAAAGCATTCCAACAAATATTAAAGGAAGGAATTAAGCTCATATGAAGCATTCCAACAAATATTAAAGAAAGGAATAAAGCTCATATAAAGCATTCCAACAAATATCAAAGAAAGGAATAAAGCTCATATAAAGCATTCCAACAAATGTTAAAGAAAGGAATAAAGCATTCCAACAAATATCAAAGAAAGGAATAAAGCTCATATAAAGCATTCCAACAAATATCAAAGAAGGGAATAAAGCTCATATAAAGCATTCCAACAAACATCAAAGAAAGAAATAAAGCTCATATAAAGCATTCCAACAAATATTAAAGGAAGGAATTAAGCTCATATGAAGCATTCCAACAAATATTAAAGAAAGGAATAAAGCTCATATAAAGCATTCCAACAAATGTTAAGGGGAAGGAATAAAGTTCATATAAAGCATTCCAACAATAACATTAAACCTGCAGGAGAACATGCAGTGTGGTTTGCTGCAGCAAGACTCTGAGAGAAGCTGCTTCTCAATGCTGAACCGAATACGACTCTTTGTCCCTTTAAATCGCTCTTTGGATTTTAAGGGCATTTGCAGTAAACGTGGTAAATAAATATTGGTGGTTCAAAAGGAGAAAGATGTTAGTGATAAAGTTACTTATGAATTATCTTCATGAATTAATAACAACAGACGATGACCCTTTGGTGAGTTCTGTCTTTGAGGACAAATGTCTTACCTCCACAGCCTCTCTGGACTCATGTGGTTCAGTGGTGGAGCTCACAGCTTTCTTCTTCCTGTTTGTTCCAAAAAAAAACAGATACACAAATAGATTCAACAAAAAAACGTTTATCTTCACTATTAAAGGACCTTTTCAAAGTAAAAGCTTATTGAGGATGAGTTCTAGTTGCTTTACCTCATCCACAGACGAAAGACAAGCAGAACAATCGGATTCACAAAGACCAGAGTCCACCTGGTAATGTAAATTATCATTGTTGGTCTAACAACACCTGGAGACACACAGTTATTAAACAAACAGCACGTTACCTCATCAGAAGGACTTGATTCATGGATAAACGTGCAGGAGATGCTGTTTGTTGATCAGAAGATTCCTGTCATGGAGAAACTCACCAGACTCAGTAATCAGACGTAAGGTGGAGGTACTACGTCCCATCTCGTTCTGGGCTTCACAGTAATAATTCCCACTGTGTTCAGCTGTGAAGTCAGTGATGGTGAAGATCTGTCCTGATGCTCGTGGTGAGTCTTCATGCTCCTTGTACCAGGTGTAGCTAGCTGCTGGGTTAGCATCAGTGCTACAGGTCAGAGTCACTGAAACGCCCTCCAGCATCTCAGCAGAGGGACTCACTGACACAGAGGGACGCTGTGGACCATCTGGAGGAGACGTGAATAAACATACTAAGAGGTTAGAAGATGTTAGCGTAGATAGTTGATCATTTGAATGAATACTTGTGTGTCTTTCTCTCAGACTATCTCTAGTATTCATCACAGCAGCTGTCACAGGTGAGACTCCTGCTGGTGTAAAGTGACAATAAGCAGCCTTTAATCCTTTGTTTGTAGGAGTTGTTGTAGGAGTTATTGATTGTTTCCTCCACCAGCTGACACGTCACTTCTACTTATGTTCTGGAATAATTCACTTGAGTCTTTATGAAAATCACATTATTCTGTCTGCTGATAGTTTATATTTGTGTTTCTATTAATAAGAGAATGACATAAATAAAGATCTGTGTCTCCTTTAACATTTAGACTCCAGTGTGTTTACAGCTGTGATTAGAATCATATTGTTGTGTCAGTGTGTGAGTGACTCTTCTACACGTAGACTGCAGGGGCCGGGGATTGAACCAGCAACCCTCTGGTCAGTGGACCACGGCTCCACCTCCTGAGGAACGTTGTGCTTCATCTTTTTGATGCCTCTAGTTTACATGCAGCGGTCTGGTGCCTCTATGTGAGATGTTGTTGAAGCTCCACAGGCCGACACAGTGGAGTGAACTTACACACTGCAGGAGAACGTTGACCAGAAGATCCTCCTGAATAACAGGAATATCTGTCTGTAGAACCAGAGGAGACTGGAAGAGAAGATCCTGTCATGAAGTACTCTTCATTCTTGTACCAGACGTATTCAGGATGATCAGGCAGAACACAGCTGCTGTGACACGTCAGCTCCAACCAGGTAGAATCTGATCTTCTCACCTGCACCTGGAGACCTGAATCTGTGAATATTATTTATTAAAGTGTCAACATTCACAGAAGACATTTATACTCTAGTTTTCTAGATGTTGAACATTTGTAGATGATTAATATGTGAATTAAAATGTTACCTGTGACAGACAAAGTGACTCCAGGTGAACCAGTATATTTCTCTCCTGGTTTGTTTGTCCCAAATCTGAATTTGTACTCAGCTGAGTCGCTCTCTCTCACGTCTGTGATGGTCAGATGACAACTCTTACAACTCTGACCGCAGTCATTTTCAAGGGTCTGCGGCCTGGAGTGACGCCCTCGTCGAAAAGGAGAAAGTTCATTAATTAATATAAATGACTTATCCTGGTCCGGCGGAATGTGGCAGCACCAGTAGTTGACTACACGCACCCCGTTGCTCTTGGCTCTGATATTTATTTTACACGCATTGTTGTCTTCCGTGAACGCAGAGTTCAGGGAGACGCAGAATCAACGTGTTCACGTCTACGTGGATTTAAACCATATAGTTAATTATATTTAACTATCCATGGTTATTTATCTGGTATTACAATATATTCAATGTTGTTATTTCATATGGTTTTCAGGGTCCATTTGCAACCATTGTTGTATTCATCTTGTTTTATTTATTTAATTTAAAAACCAAACAAAGTTACTTACCACTGATTGTGTTCCACTTTAAAGCCATATTTTAGGGCAGCTTCTCAATTCTTTGCTCAATTCAGACGTTCTATTTCCAAGAGAAAACCATTGTAAAACATTCAATTCTTTTTTTTTCTTCTTATTACCGGGACAGAGAACCCGGATGCATCAGAAGCTGAGGAGTGGTAAGAACAAGAGGTGGACTCACTGACACTAGTGTCACACTTTGGCACCAACAAAGCGCTCAGGAAGCTGCAGAGATGTTATTGTGCTGCTGGACAGTGCCGTCAATAAATTGCCACAATTTTTCAAGATGGACTCAAATGCCTGATTGGTGTTACAAGAAGACATCAGCACATGTTATATTTATCTCTTTCTTGTACTTAGGTCAAATATAGAATGTGAAATTATGCCATGACCATCATATCTCACTGTTGGCATGTTGTGCTCACCGCACAGCGTTTGGCAGTTAGGCCAAACAGTTCAGTTTTGGTTTCATCTGACCAGAGCATCTTCTTCCACATGTTTACCCCCAAACAGGATTTCTTGTGGTTTGTAGCAGACCAACGTCTGCAGACTTGTTTTGTCCCACCTGAGCAATATAAAGAAGGCGGGGCAAGGAAGGCTAGGAGATTGCTTTTTTCAACTGCAGGTGTGTCCAATCAACTGACAGACACTGCATGGCATCGGAGACAGGAGTGAGAGACAAAAGGGCAAACAAAACATAGGACATCGCGGGTTGCTGGACCTGTGGAGTCCTACGAGAGGAATACCCCAAAAGACCTGCTCGACACTGCCAGAGGAGGAATTGGCTGGAGAGACCTTTTGGACCGCCGTGGACTACGGCTCGCCGTTGTTGATCGGGACAGATAAGTCCCCGCAGAAAAAACTCCTTCTCCGGATTATCCAACTCACTCTCACCAGCCCACACATCCTTTGACTTTCATCAAAGGATGTGATGGAGAAATGTGTGTAACCCTTCAAAATGTTTCATTGAATGAACAAGGTTATAAATTGCAAATGGTGTGGCCTCGATAAAAAATTGAGCTGGAGTGTCTCACACTGATGCCAGTCTCCTTGCTGTAGAGACACAACAAGTTGGTTTGGAGGCCACCTGTAGGTATGAAATCTGCCTGGCCCTGTTATGGGAGGAGGACGGTTCTTGGCAGTCTACTGAGCACGTAGCTGTTGTGCCCTTTTTTTCCCTTGCATTGAAATAAACGGAGAAAGACATTTGACTCCGAGCCTTATTCTTATTTACCGATTGTCTGTGCAAAGTCTTCCACAACAAGGAGCTTCCATGTGATTATTTGTTGTGCTTACAGATGTTTTTATATTAAACTGCTGTACATTTATGTTTTGATTGGGGATTATATGTTTAAATGAGTAGAAGGGGCTTCCCTGGTTTGTACTCGATTTCATTTACTTTTGTGCAGCGAGAGTACCCAACTGTGCGGGTACATTATGCGCATTGTTCGGAAGATACCTTGAAAATGTGACCTGGAATAACGAGGATTATTTTCCTGTCTGCCGCCCAACACACCCTTCGGATTAAAAGACGCACCCCTACGCTACAGGTTCTTTCTACAGCATCTTTCTTCTTGCCACTCTTCCACCTCCAGAGTCACCATGGGATTCCTGCTTTATCAAGAACATCACAGTGTCCTCAGGATAAATGTGACCATTGACTTTGGTGATGATGGAGGAACTCACTCCATGCACAACTAAAGAGGATACTAATGTTGTATTTCAAGTAAAAGGTGTCTCTCTGCCACTGGAGAAACCAGAAACCTCAACATCCCTTTCTTCTACTGAATTGCATTCCAGTGTCCCTAAACTGCAATCTTATCTACATTTCGAGGGACATGTTTATTCTCTTAGTTCACGGTTTCACCGTTTAACAGTTCTAAAACTTATAATAAATAAAAGTATACAATAGAACAATAAAAGGATGACGGGTAGAATTTGAAGAGCACTCCAGGTGGCCGCCGTCAAAATAAAACACGAAAGGAGGGCTGTCTGGTCACGACTCTCAATATCATTTTTTTTATCAATTAAAAAATGTATGTTTTTATATATTTCCCTCCATTTGTTTTGTGTTTTTAGTGGAGGTAGAGTGTGAAGAGTTGTGTCTTTAGTCTGAAGATGTGAAGGCTCTCTGTGGTCCTGATGTCTTCAGAGAGCTCGTTCCACCATTTAGGAGCAGGACAGCAAAGAGTGGTGAGCTAGTCAAGTGTTTTGCTCTCAGTGAGGAGGAACAAGCAGTTTATCGGATGCAGAGCGGAGAGTGCGGGTTGGGATGTCGGGTTTGAGAGACTAGGGTCTGACTTTCAGATGGTGAGCGGACATCCACTGAGAGATACCAGTCAGACAGGCAGGTTCCGACACAGATTCTCACCAGGTCACCTGGGAGGGGCGGCTGTCGAGGTAGGACGAGGGAAAGGACAGAGCAGAGCCTGAGACACCAAGTTCCTGAAGGGAGGAAATAAGGATCTGCTGGTTTACTGTGTCGAATGCAGCAGAGAGGCCGCGGACCTCCTGTTGAAGACCTCTGCTGTAGACAGATATAGTGAGACGCCAACTAGGCAAGGTTGCAGAGATATGGAAAGGTTTAGGACAAGATAATGTAGAAACACCAGCTGTGGGACAACAATTTTGTGTGTGTGTGTGTGTGGCGACGGGGGGGGCAGCGAGATGGGGTCAGCCGACCAGACTGAGCCAGTTAGTTTAGCATAAACAACCAGATAGAGGTGCAAGTGAAAGACAAGGAGAAGAACAGTGGAACGACAACAACAGGAGGAGAGTTACGCAGTTAGGATAGAATGGGAGGGCTTCACTCAATCAAATGGTCAACTAATGTCCATCCATCCATTTTCAACCGCTTATCCGGGGTCGGGTTGCGGGGGCAACAGCTCCAGCAGGGGACCCCAAACTTCCCTTTCCCGGGCCACATCTACCAGCTCTGACTGGGGGATCCCAAGGCATTCCTAGGTCAGTGCAGAGATATAATCTCTCCACTTGGTCCTGGGTCTTCCGTGGGGCCTCTTCCCAGCTGGCCGTGCCTGGAACACCTCCCTAGGGAGGCGCCCAGGGGGCATCCTCACCAGATGCCCAAACCACCTCAACTGGCTCCTTTTGACGCAAAGGAGCGGCGGCTCTACTCCGAGCTCCTCACGAAGGGCTGAGCTTCTCACCCTATCTCTAAGAGAGCGGCAGCCACTCTCCTTAGGAAACCCATTTAGGCCACTTGTACCCGTGACCTAGTTCTTTGGGTCATGACCCATCCTTCATGACCATAGGTGAGGGTAGGAACGAAGATTGACTGGTAGATCGAGAGCTTTGCCTTCCGGCTCAGCTCTCTTTTCGTCACAACGGTGCGGTAAAGCGAGTGCAACACCGCCATCAGGAACACATCATCTGCAAAAAGCAGCGATGCGATCCGCAGCCCCCCGAACTGTAGACCCTCCTCCCCCCGACTACGCCTCAATATCCTGTCCATGAAAATCACAAACAAGATTGGTGACAAGGCGCAGCCCTGGTGAGGACCAACCCCCACCGGAAACGCCTTCAACTTACTGCCGAGCCCCCGAACACAGCTCTCGGTTTGGGCGTACAAGGATTGGATGGCCCCAAGCAAGGACCTCCTCACCCCGTACTCCCGCAGCACCTCCCACAGTTTCTCTCGGGGGACCCGATCATACGCCTTCTCCAAGTCCACAAAACACATGTAGACTGGATGAGCATACCCCCAAGCCCCCTCCATGATCCTGGAAAGAGTGAAGAGCTGGTCCGTTGTTCCACGACCAGGACGAAAACCGCATTGTTCCTCTTCAATCCTTGGTTCGACTATCGGCCGAACCCTCCTTTCCAGCACCTTGGAGTAGACTTTACCCGGGAGGCTGAGTAGTGTGACACACTGTTATTGGCACACACTCTCTGGCCCCCCTTTTTGAAGAGTGGTACCACCACCCCGGTCTGCCACTCTTTTGGCACTGTCCCAGACTTCCACGCAATGTTGAAGGGGCGTGTCATCCAAGACAACCCCCCAACATCCATTGCTTTTAGCATCTCTGGACGGATCTCATCAATCCCCGGGGCTTTGCCACTGCGGAGTTGTTTGACTACCTCAGTGACTTCCACCAGGCTAATTGACGATGATCCCTCCTCTGCCTCCAGCTCCGCCTCTACCAAAGAGGGCGTAGTAGTTGGGTTCAGGAGTTCCTCAAAGTGTTCCTTCCACCGCCCGATAACCTCCTCAGTCGCGGTCAACAGGGTCCCATCCTTACTGTACACAGCTTGGATGGTTCCCCATTTCCCCCTCCTGAGGTGCCGGATGGCCTTCCAGAAGCACTTTGGTGCCGACCGAAATTCCTTCTCCATAGTTACCCCAAACTCCTCCCATACTCGCTGCTTTGCCTCCATCACGGCAGAGGCTGCTGCCCTTCGAGCCTGTCGGTACACTGCAACTGCCTCCGGAGTCCCGCCGGATATCATAACCCAGAAGGCCTCCTTCTTCAGTCGGACGGCTTCCCTGACCACCGGTGTCCACCACGGGGTTCAAGGGTTACCGCCCCTTGATGCACCTAAGACCTTGAGGCCACAACTCACTGCCGCGGCTTCAGCAATGAAGGTTTTGAACATACACCACTCTGGTTCAATGTCCCCTACCTCCACAGGAATGTGAGAGAAGCTCCGCCGGAGGTGTAAGTTGAAAATCTTTTGGACCGGGGCGTCCTCCAGACGTTCCCAGTTCACCCTCACTACACGCTTGGGTTTACCGGGTCTGTCCCGAGTCTTCCCCCATCCTCTGACCCGGCTCACAACCAGATGGTGATCAGTTGACAGCTCTGCCCCTCTCTTTACCCAAGTGTCCAGAACATGCGGCTTCAGATCAGACGATACGATTACAAAATCGATCATTAATCTTTGGCCTAGGGTGCTCTGGTACCACGTACACTTATGAACATCCTTATGTTCGAACATGGTGTCTGTTATGGACAATCCGTGACTGGCACAGAAGTCCAGTAACAAACACCCGCTCGTGTTCAGATCAGGGAGGCCATTCCTCCCAATCACGCCTCTCCAGTTATCTCCATTGTCGCCCAAGTGCGCATTGAAGTCTCCCAGTAGGACTATGGAGTCCCCTACTGGATCTCCATGCAGGAATCCAATCAGGGTCTCCAAAAAGGCCGAATACTCTGAGCTGCTGTTTGGTGCATATGCACAGACAAGTCAGAGTTTTCCCCCCCACCACCCGGAGGCGTAGGGAGGCGACCCTTTTGTCCACCGGGGTAAACTCCAATGTAGCAGCACTCAGCCGGGGACATATCCCCAGAGTCCATCCCCTATCCAGGAGTGTGGTTCCAGAGCCGAGGCTGTGCGTAGAGGGTAAGCCCCACTAGATCCAACTGATAACGCTCCACCTCCCGCACAAGCTCCGGCTCCTTCCCCCCCAGAGAGGTTACGTTCCATGTCCCCAGACCCAGCATCTGCCGCCCAGCTCTGTTCCGTTTAGACCCCCCACTGTCACTGCCACCCTTGTAGCATCGCATCCGATCCCATCGGTTTCCCCCACAGGTGGTGAGGCCACGGGGAGTAGAGTGTTGGGCTGCCGCGTCACTTCTTCGGGCTGTGCCCGGCCGGGCTCCACGGTAAACCCGGCCACCAGACGCTCGCTGTCGGGCCCTCCATCTGGGCCTGGCTCCAAATGGGGGCCCCGGGCTAACTCCGGGCCGGGTAACTCCTTCCCTCTTCCGTTCTTTCATGGGGGTCTTGAACCATTCTTAGTCTGGCCCCTCGCCTGAGACTTTGCCAAGGGTAACCCTACCAGGAGCACAAGGCTCCCGACAACACAGCCCTCAGTTTCATAGGGACACACAAACCTCTCCACCACGTTAAGGTGACGGTTCCCAGAGAGGGGGAATAAAGTTAGAAATTTTAAATATTAAAAAAGTTTAAAAAAGATATATTAAGCATAAAGTGCACTAACGAACAAGTAACAAAGTGACGGGTGACGACAAAGTGATGAATTGCAGTTAAAGTGGCATGTGCAGTGTGAAGGGGAGTGACCGGTGGAATGTTTTAGTCAGTCAGTGGGGGACCGGGCTCTGTTGATGAGCCCGACTGCTGACGGGAAGAAACTGTTCGTGTGGCGGGAGATCTTAGTCCTGACTGACCCTCAGCCTCCTGCCAGATGGAAAGGGGCACAAATAGGTTTTGTTCGGGGTGGGGAGGGGTTGGCCCACGATCTTTTTAGCTTCGCTTCAGAGACCTGGAAGCGAACAAGGTCTGGCAGGGACGGCAG